CAGCCAGCTGAGGGCTGCAGCTCCAGACATCACGGCCCGCTCCAAATGCCTCCCTGCATCCCGAGCTACTCTGGACTCTGCCCAAGGGTGGAGAGTGGGGGGGAGCCTGCCAGAACTTGAAGCGCCTGGAAGGATTCTCCTGCGAACGTGGTCCTTGGCAGTTTCATGCGCTCTCTCTCTCCACCTAACAAATAAGGACACTGTGGTTCTGAGATGTGAAATGACTTGCTCAAAGGCATGGAGCCGATAAGAAGTTTGGCCATATTTGAACCCAGACCTATTAACTGGGACTTTACCCATCTCCCCTGCTACTCCAGTACGGTGCCTTTTGCAGAAAGCTGGACTCTTAACCATAGTAGTTATCATGCTCATTTAAAGCCATATCCCAAGACAAATTGGTAAATAATAATAATAATTATTATTGTATCATTAGGATCTTATGTACTATTATAGTTATTCACACTAGAGAAACTATTCGGTATTTACACATGTGTGACTTGTTTATTTCACTTATACATATCCTCAATATGTGTCCATTTTCCTATGAATGAGTCTAAGTTCTCATTCTTTATGGCTGAGTAATATTCTACTTTATAGAAAAAGCACATCTTCTTTATCCAGTTTCTAACTGATGGGCAAATGGGCTGTTTCCAAGTTTTAGCTATTACAAACTGTGCCACTATTAACATGGGTGATTTAGGGCCAGGGATTTAGCTCAGTGGTTCCGCTGCCTGCCTTGCAAGCACAAGGACCCAAGTTCGACCCCCTGAGCACAAAAAACAAAACAAAACAAAACATATGTACACATATATCTCTGTGATATGATTCTTTTAATACTTTTGGGAAGATACTCAGCAGAGGGATAGCTGGATGCTCTAGTCCCAGCTCTTTGAGGTATCTCCATATTGATTTCCGCAGTGGTTGCACCAGTCTGCACTCCCACCAACAATGGAGAAGGGTTCCTTTCTCCCCCACAACCCTGAAAACATTTGTTATTATTTGATTTCTTGATAGCAGCCATTCTTTGTGGGGTGAGGTGGAATGTGAAATAGGAAGAAAGGGACTAAAGGTGTAGGGAAAGTGGGAAGGGTAGGGGGAAGCTAATAAGGGAAAAGAAAAAATATGAGAAAATGGAAATGAAGTGTTTGTAAAGGGGGAGGAGAGGAGGAGTGAAGGGAGGGCAGGGACGAGGGGGAAAAAATGAGAACCAAGACCTGTCATGTAAAGGTACAAGATCCCAAAGATGACTGTAACTGTACTGTCTACCTAGAATGTACCAATAAACTCAATGAGGAAAAAATAAAAAATAAAGCAATAATAAAAATAATAATAACTAAATTGAGTTCTAACATAGAATCCCAGAACAAGGTCACCCTCCCCAAAGCCCAGAACTCATGAAAGTCTCAAGAGAAAGGTCCAGGCTTTTGTTCCTTAGAGGTGAGCACTGTCTTTTCGCATCCCCTGTCATTGCTACAACACACACACACACACACACACACACACACACACACCACTCAAGGCAGAGTTACCCACATTGGCTGGTACTGACACAATTCCAGTGGAAGAAGCATCATTGAACACCTACTATGTGCTTGGCCCTGAGGTTTGCTGACTGGCTGGCCCACTGGCCAGCTTTCTCTACCCAGCTGCCGCCCTGACCAGCTGACCAACGCAGCCTGTGTCAGCTTACACGAGCAGCTGGTGTTTCCTTCCCTGTAAATGGCCTTGTCTCCCTGGAGAGAGAGAGAGAGAGAGAGAGGGAGAGAGAGAGAGAGAGAGAGAGAGAGAGCGCACATGATGATGACAAAGGTGGTCAGAGTGATTCAGTTTCGTTTCCGATGCTGCTCCCTGCCTGGGGAATCGTCATCAGGTGGTAACAGTTTTATGGTCACAGGTATTTAACAAAGTTGGCTGTTTGTTTCAGTGATATAAAATCATTAAGTAAACAGATGAGAGACAGAAGGCACAGCCTGGTCCCTTTAAAGAAAGATTACCTGGGTGCTGCCGTTCTGGTAAAGAAAAATATTGACATGGGTGTGCCCCAGGGGATGGGATGTTAATTTTAGAGACAACTCCCTGTGGTCACCCTCTTATGTCCACAAGGAAAGTGCTCCTGAGTCTGTCTCCCCACTATTGTTATTTGGGGAAAAATAAACCTTAATCTTTCATCATAATAAAAATAATACATCCCCATTGTGAAATATTCAGAGAAGACCAGGCACATAGCTCAGGCTTATTTTTCTTCCGTCTTTTTTATACCCATTGACATGGTTGGGATGACAGTAATCACTAACAATAACAGCTGCATCCTGAGAATATACACTAGATATTATTTTAAGGGATAAGCAAATATCAACTTATTTAATTCTCCCCAAGACTCTCGAAAGTAGGACTATTATTCTGCCCGTTTCACAGATAAAGAAACTGCAGCATAGAGATGCTAGTTTGCCTGAGTTCGTGGCCAGTATGTGGCAGAGCTGGGATCCAAACCATCTCCAACTCTGTCTCTCCTATCATAGGCACATAGGCACTTCCCCGTGTCAATGCAGGAACTTCAATTTTTTTTTAGTTGTTTTTGTTTGTTTCAGTGCTAGAAATCAAACCCAGGCCCCCCCGTGTGCTAGGCAAGTGTCACTCTACCCCCAGACCCTGAAATATTATTTTTAATGGCTACCAAATATTCTAGTGGATAGACTAGCTTAGTCATCCCCCTGCTTTGGATATCTTTTATCTGAATGTTCAGTATTCTATACCATCAACAGCACAGTGGTAAAGGAACGTTCCTAGAAGCAAGCCACTGGCTCCTATAGTGTGCCCTCATGGGGACCCCATCACGACCCCAGGTAAAGCTGGGCCCCACACCTCACTGAGCCTTGAAGGCAGCACTCCTGGCCTCTTCCCTGTCTCCCCAGAGATAGAAAGCCTGGAATCAGAGCTACAAGGAGACTCCCACTCAGAATCAAATATATCACAAACATATCCATGCCTGCCTCGGGAGAGACAGTGTGGGTAGCTGGGCTGTGTTACAGTCCACCTAAGCGACATACCTGATCTCTCCCTGCCCACTCAAGCGATGTTCTTTGTGAAGATCAGATGACAGTTGCCTAAAAAGGCTTTTGAAACTAGAAAACCACATAAGCCAGAGGTTGTTATTATTATAACATTAGTTCCACAGCATTCCCCAAGGCACTGCTATGTGCCTGGCATTTGTGTGAAGCCCTGGGGATACGGAGACAAACAAGAAAGCTCCGGCAGCTGCCCCAGAGGGAAACGTGGTCTGATGCAGGAAGAGACACAGGGAGCCCAGTTCTGGGACAGATGGAGGCAGCAGGCTGCACAGGGCACTCAGTTCCGGTGGAGGGACCCAGTTCAGGTGCAGGGAAGGCTTCCTGGAGGAGGTGCCGTCTCAACTGACACCAGGAGGATGTGCAGTAGTTGGCTGAACGGGGAGGGTGGGAGGGAAGCTTGGAGAATGACATTTGCTGAAGTACAGAGGCATAAAAAGTTCTATCTTCTGGAAAGGGCAGCACAGCCAGGGTATTGTGGACTCAGGCCTAGGGCCTCGCGGACAGGGGGCAGTTGGGATTGTTGGCATAGACCAACCCCCCATCAGCTTTGCTTACTGTCGGTGACTCTGGAACAGTTTAGAGAATGGAAAAGGAGCCCTCCCTGAAAGTGGGACCAAAGCAGGGTCTTCCACCTTCCACCATAAGGACGGCCCAGCATACTGGGAAGGACTCACCACAGTCTTGCCTCACCTCGCGGAGCAGTCTTTCAAGGCTGCCAAGCCTCGGTCTATCCCTGGTCCCCTTCCTCTAATTCCTCCATTATGCCTCTGCCCCAGGGTTCCCCTAAAACTCAGACTTAGAGATGGATTCCCCCGGGGAAGGTAAAGGACCTGACCTGCTGTTCACTGAGCATGTACCAGGTGCTAAGAGGTTCATCATAATTCTTCCCTTCCAGCACACTCCGAGGCCGAGGCTTACTGTCCAATTCCACAGAGGAATAATAAGCCCAGGTCGCTCATGGAATGTGTATTGAAGGTTCGGGTTAGTGGAAGCATGAAAAGGAAACAAGGATAAGTTCCTTGGTCTGTGGTGGCCTTGTGGGTGCCTTTGGACAAATGACCACTTTTCTAACCCTTGATGGGGTAAGGACAGTGTTGCTGCCTCTGTGGGCTGCTGGGGGTGGGGGGCGGCCCTCACCGAGATGTGCACCCAAAGCACTATCTTAAACTAAGCAGCCTTCCCCTGAGCTCTGCCTACCTGCTCCTGGGGGCCAGCACTACAGCTGGTTAAAGTGAAATCTCCCCACTCACCACAGGAGTAAAGTCCAACTACAGGCATGGGGCATATCACCGTGTTCACTGAGCTATCCTGTCCCTCAGACTCCAAGATGCAATTCTTTCCAGCTCAGCTAGGCCTCCAGGAAGACCCAGCCCCTCTTCCTGTCACGGTCAAGCATCTCAGATCTGCCCTCACCCACGGATGTGAGCCCCTCTCCTCCAGTGGCAGGAACACAGCCAGGCTCCCATAGACCACAGAAACTGCCCAGGGTCTTTCCCAGACGTCTACCAGAAAACAAGAGAAAGGTCCCTGCTGTGTGGCTGCAGATAAGACCCTCACCGTTTCTGTGCCCATTTCTTCATAACTTCGGGAGATCCGTGAAAACACTGAAGTCCGTGGAAAGGTGATGTCTTTCCTCTTCAGCAAGTACTTATGTAAAGACTGTTCCAGGGACAGCGACAAACAAGATGGGCATTGTCTCTCGGCAAGCTTGCATCCTCTTGGGCCTCTGTTTACACGTCTGTTACGTGAAGACTCTAACAGTGCCTGCCTCACAGAGTCATCATGAGGGTTAAATAAATTAACATTCATAAAGAGTTTAGCACAGGGCCTGAGGCTGCACACATGCCCCTGCAGACCTTTAGCAGTGGGCGTAGTATTCTTCACGGGCGATAAGGATCAGATGAGACAATACAGGCAGAGCATTTAGGGTTGTGACTGTCTGACTGTGCCCCATAAGCATGAAAGCTATTTCCTCAAGCCTGAGAGAGGGTGACAGAGGCATGAGCAACAAAGGGACTTGCCCCAAATCTCACAGCCACAGCTTTTAACCAGGCTCTGAAATAGGACGTCCTAACCTGAGCACATGAGGTTTGGGCCGGACGGTCCTGTGGGGCCTGCCTGGCACTAAAGGATGGTTAGCAGCATCCCTGGCCTCTGCCCACTGGATACCAAGAGCAGCCGCTACTCCCACACATCGTGACATCAGAAATATCTCTAGACACCACCAAGTCCCCTGACAGCCAAGCCACCCCCGCCGTGCGCTGAGAACCGCTACTCCATACCGACCCTTGAGCTCATATTTCAAGAAACCCCAAGATCTTACCCTAGCCCCCTTACCTCCTAACCCAGACACCGTAAATGCCTCATGCCTACCTCTCCCCAAAGGACCTGCCCTTTTTTCAAGCAAACTCCAACCTGTGCCCCCCGCTCAAGGTCTTCCTGCACCCAAAGTCCCCTCCCCACCTCTGTCCTTTTCTCCACTGCTTGGATGTAATCCCAACAGCCTCCACCACAGAACGTAGTTGAAGCCTGGCCCTCAGTATGGCAAGCTCTATACCTGTAGCATCGTTAGTAGAGAATGCATCTGTCCTGACCTGGCTCCTACCCCAACACCAGACAGAAGCACCTGAGGACCAGGAGCTGTGCCTGCCTCCAACACCCAGCACAAAGCCAGGCATTTGGGGCCTAGAGCTCAAGCAGCCTTTAGGGGAGTGTGAAAGGCCACAGGCTAAGGAAACAGCAAGGCCTGGAACTTAGGAGGGGATAAAAGTTGAAACCGTGAGCCAGGCGCAGGCTCAGTTTCCACTTCTGGATGCTTCCTGATTGAGGGCTGGTGACTCAAACTCTGTGAGCCTCAGTTTCTTCATCTGTGAAACAGGGAGAATATACAGTGTCCTCACTATGAGAATGAAATCAGGCAACGTACAGAGGACTTAGCGCTGGGGCGCAGTGTAGTTGAGAAAGCAGACATAATCCTAACGTTGCACAGGGATCCAACGCAGAGGCCACGCCTCCACAGCACCTGTGGGGCTAGGTCAGCAGTCCAGGAAGCACCCGAACAGGAATTACCACTTCAGTGTCCCCGAAGAGGACCAGAGCAGAGCAGTAGAAACTCCAGTCTCCAGGCCAGAGCTCCCCGCTTCCGGGGCAAGGGTTCCAGGTGCAGGCGGGAGGTGGTGGGAAGCTCGGAGCCCCGAGGCTCCCACAGGGCCTAACCCTGGAACTTCTGTAGCTGCAAAGAGGGCCTGGGGAACCATGATGCGAAGACGCCCGACCGCGGGGGCAGGGAGGGCGGAGGGAGGCCGCTGGGGAGGCCGCCAGACACTGTAAATAATTCACACAGATGAACTGGAGATAGCGCCACGCGTGGGGGATTGAGTTCAGGTCCAGCAGGCTCAGACCGCTGCAGGGGACTTGGGGGCTCCCCGGCCAGAGTGGGAGCGGGGCCCCCGCTGCCAGGAAAACACCGCCCCAAGTGCGGACTCGGTGCCACTCCCTGCCATTGAGGGAGGGAGCTCCCCGGAACTGCCCCGCGGGGCCACCGGCCTGCCGCCTCCGCCCCCGCCGTCTCCATGGCAACCGGCTGGCCTGGTCCAGGGTTCACGGCCAACCCGATCCTCGGGCTCCCCTCCCCAGCGGGAGCCCGGGCCGTCTCAGACTCCCTTCCCTTCACTCCTGGAGCCTCGGAGCTTCCGGGCCGGCAATAGAACAACGTCTTGCCCGACCCCCCACCTCGCCTTAGGTGGGAGCAGTTGAGACCACCGGCTCAGCTCTGGACGGCCTTCCTGGGTTTCAGGACCAACTCCACCACGCTAAAACTGTGGGATCCGTCCAAGGCAGGTGACCTTTCCTCTCTGAGCCTCAGCATCCCTGATCTGTAAAATGCCATGATGATGATGATGATGATGATGAAATTAAATGAACCAAAATGCAAAAAGTGAGAAACAATGACTGCTCTAGAGCCAGCACACGGTAAATATTATTTTCCACATTGAGAAATGGAGAGAGACACTTCTCTGAGACACTTAGGGTGGGTGCTGATGGCTTGCTATCGGGAGTTTCCCTGAGAGTTGCCAACACTCCCTGGGGGCCCACCTCCCACCTCTACCTCTAGAAGTGCACGTTGAATTGTCATCTATCTGACACTGAGGTCCTGAACCAGAAGAGGCCGTGCTTTAGCCAGCAATCTCCCTAGTGCCAAGCACAAGCCCCACCCCCTCCAGGCCTGCCTAGTTGTTGAATGGATATAGATTTAATGAATTCCTTAATCTCTTCCAACGAGCACTGTCTCAGAGCAAACCCCTGACACCCTTGGCCGCCCAGCTGTCTGCCTTACAGGACCTCTCTCACCTTGACCACTTCCTGTCACTCTGCCTGGCCCCCACCCCACCCCACCCCACCCCCGTTCTGTTAGGATTTCCCACGGCAAGTGTCCCAAGTCCTCCTCCCTCCAGCCTGTCTTCCCTAACTTCCTTCCTCCCCTTAGTGACCCTTTGTCCTCAAAAAAGCTGTTTCTGGGTTGAGGACCCTGCTCCAGGCTCCAGGGGTGTGTGCTTACCCTGAGTTGGGGACAAAGCCTCCGGGGTAAGGGACAACAAGGTGAGCCAAACACTTAAGGCAGAGCCTGAGGGACATGGATGGGGGCCTGCGGCTGGGGAGGTAGGAGTGGGAGACACCCGGTGGCTGCCTTTCTGGGACTCCTGGTCCTTCTGGGGAAGGGGGGTTGGGGGGTTTGGACACAGGATCTCTATCCCCAGGGGCCACCCCACTAGCTCCATTCCAGCTGCCAGGTTTCCTCGGTTACCAGCAGTCACCGGGGATTTATTTTTGCATATGGTTTGGGAGAATCTCTGCTGCTGGAATGACAACCTTTTTTTTTTTTTTTTCCCCTTCTCCTTCCCTCCAATAGGCAGATTTTATAAACCAGAGCAGCTGCCTGAAGGTTTCCAAGAAAAAAATTCTGCACAGTTTCTAACCAGGGTGACAGATCCTCCACAGGAAGTTGCTTTTATTAATTTTTTTCATCTTTTTTTTTTTTTTTTTTTTTTTTTTTTTTTTTTTTTTTTATTTTTTTTTTTTTTTTTTTTTTTTTTTTTTTTTTTTGGTAAGGCTCCATCTATCGGTCATCAGGCAGCACCTTGGGAATTCTGGGCATTTTAAGCCCCCACCCCCAACACCATTTGCCTGGAACTTGTGATTACATCTAAACCACAGTGGGCTTGCCCAACACAGGGGCAGACATCAAACTATTGAAAAACTGGGTCACTCAAATTGCCTGTGCAGAAGAATCCCAAATAATTTATGGAAGTGCCCCTTCCCTCAAGGAGCAGGCAGCACCTTGGGAATTCTGGGCATTTTAAGCCCCCACCCCCAACACCATTTGCCTGGAACTTGTGATTACATCTAAACCACAGTGGGCTTGCCCAACACAGGGGCAGACATCAAACTATTGAAAAACTGGGTCACTCAAATTGCCTGTGCAGAAGAATCCCAAATAATTTATGGAAGTGCCCCTTCCCTCAAGGAGCAAGAAGGTGGAGCAGAACTCCCTGCCTTTAAATGCGGACTGCACATAATGATCTCTTTCCAGAGCTTGCAGTGTGAAAAGGGAGAGAAAAGAGCGATTTTGTAGTGGAGACACCTACAAACACAACCTCAACCAGATGATAAAATGTAGCCCCACTGTAGATGAGTCGTGTCTATAGCTGTGCCCTGATGCGATGCGAAGAGTGCGTTCCGTCCATATTCTTCCTCCCACAGCCCATAACCTCACCTGAACCATGAGAAAAGCACGAGGCAAACCCTAACTGAGGCACAGGCTACGAAATACCTCTCCACGGCTCCATCAAAAACAAGGTAAGTCTGAGAAATTCACACAGCCCAGAGGAGCCCAAGGAGGCACGATAAATAAATGCAGTGTGGTGTTCCACGTGGAATCCTGGAACACACAAAAGATAACAGATAAAAATCTGAAGAAGACCATTCATAGGAATATTCCGAAGTTGACTCCTTAGTGGTAAAGATAATAAATAATAATAAGTGCCAGAATAATGCCAGATGTTAACAGCAGGAAGAAACCGGGTCAGGGGATATGGCAACTCTATATTATCTTCATAACTTTTCTGTACATTATTTTTTCTTAAAAGGATCCTATGTTTGGGTTTCAGGGTGTCTCCAAGACCCACTTGTCTCTGGTTCTCTCTTTTTGCCACAGTGAGGAACTGAGCTGCTGAATTTTGGGGTACCCAAACCCCTAGATCCCAATCTTCCCTCCATAGGAAATACATAATCATTCTCAAGGCCAGGAAAAACTCCGGTCTTGTTCACTATTCTATACTCAGCTTCACACAGGGCCAGGCACACAGTAGGTGCTAAATCAATATTTATCAAATGAAAGAAACTTGTGGCAGTCTTGTGGAAGGAACTGAACCAAGCAGAAAGCCAGTCTCCTCCAGCCAGATAGGAAGCCTTCCACCAATGTGGTTCGAAGAGGGCTGTAGACTTCTTTTGACACTGCCTTCTAGGAGCAAGCACACAGATTTCCTTAGTATTGTATTTATCCGGGTCCTTGGGGGATGGTTGGAGACCAGGAGAGGCCAGCAAACGCCCTCAAACCATTCCCCAACTGTTTGTCCAAATTCCCACCCTTCCCACCTTTAAGAAGCCGTCACTGCCCTCTCAGTGCAGCTGCCAAAAACCTATCTGCAAATAAGCTTCGTATAAGAGCTATCTGCTGTGTGCATTGCCTGGCACAGAGCAGGCACTGCACCGGTATTAATCTTTATGGCTGCCACTTGTATGCATCTGACCTTACGATGAGGTGGTGAACAGGGTTCTCCTGTGATCTTTCATGAGGATTATCATCGTCCTCATTTTGTGGAAGAAACCAGCCTAAAGAGCTTGAGAGATGCCCCCAAATTGCAGTTAAAAAATACAGGTAGAGAGTTCATATCTGAATCATCTGAGTCCCAAATTTATGCCCCAGCCACACCAATGTCTGTCCCCTCCCTGTAGCCAGAGCCTTCTGCCAGGCCCTGAGCCCCTGAGCCCCTGGGAGCAGGACCTGAGCTGTCTGCTCTGGCTCCCTCTTGAAGAGGTGCCCCAGCCTCATTCTTTCATCTGTGGCCTCCAGACAACTGGTCATTTTGTTTTAAAGCAGTCTCTTTGTTTTAAAACTTAATTTGCCAATTCCCCCCTTAGAGGTGCTTTTTGCTATTGCTTCGGGCTGTCAGCCTGGACAGGCAACCAGAACTGAATCCAGGGAGACTTACGCTGATTACAAGCATTCAATTAGTTAAGCTTGAGTGATGCGGTCCTGGTGCTGTGTTGGCTGATTGGAGATACAGAGACACCCTCCCCCACCTTGATCTTTGGATAGCCCTGTCTATATTAATTGCTGTCGATCCAAACACTTCAAATATGTCCTTCACTCAGTATAATTTGATGTCTGCCCAATCCCCAAAGTGCCTTCTCAACAAATGTTTACCCAATGCTATAGCATATTTAAAATTTTTATTTTCTCTTTTGTTGAATGGATTCCCGAGGAAAGGCAGACCGTGCCTCCCTGGGCAGAGAAACCAAATTCACTGCTGAACTTTTTAATGCATCACTTATTAAACTGGACCTGGAACCTTGGCCCAGGGCTCCCTAGCTCACCCTTTCCCATCAGAGGGCAGCTCCAGGCCAGAGCTGACCACATCCAAGCCCTGGCCCATTCTGACCCCTGCTGCAGTAACAACAAACCAACAGAAGGAGCATTAAGGGCCGAAGGACTTGGCTGCAGCTGGGTGCAAGCCCAGGTCTGGGGTCAGATAATTCTGCATCCCCACCCTGGAGTATGGCCTCTGGGTTCCAGTTCTGCCCCTGCAATGTACCGGTCAAATCACCTTTCAGGGCTTTTTACCCTTTCTGAGCTCTGCTTTGTGCAGTATAATCAGAGTGGTAATGGTGCCTATTTCATAGGACTCATGCAAGCCTGGTGTACAGCAAAAGCTCAGTTATTGAGGATACCTCAGGTCCTTTTAGCCTCTCTGGGGACTCAACTTCTTCGCATACTAAAGAAAGTGAACAGCTCTGGGTTTCCAAAGTTACGGGACTGATCATGTGAGAATAAATGGCAAAGCACTTAGTTACAGCACAGTGCTTTGATCAGGTACGAAGTAATTATTCCTAAGTGTGCAGAGAAACTGCATCTTCCAAAGACATCTTTTCACATGGCTCCTGCCTTTTGACAGATTGATGTCCAAATGGAAGGGGCCCCGGCCCTTAACTCTGTAATAGAACTTTTCAGCATCTTGGGGGTAAAGCAGAGGGGATCAAGGGGATAGCTAGGCTCCACGGTACTTAAGGACCCTTTAGTTCCAAGGCACTGGGAGTCCTCAGGAAGGTCAGGTTCAAAAAGAGGGCCACACACCCCCAAACTGGTACCCCCCCAAATCATCTTGGGTAACCCCAGCTCCAGCGTCCCCACCACTTCTAATCATGATGGTGCTGATGAATAATTCTAGGCTGGGCCTGCTGAGCTTCAAGGCCTCCACTGCCCAGGAATGGGGATGATACATCACCCCTCCCCCAGGGCCCCTAGAGCCCGTCTCCCTCCCCGCCTTCCCCGGTACTCTTACCTGAGTCTGAGTCACACTCCAGATCCTGTCACTGAGCTGTGAGCTGTGTTGTGATTCCCAGCTGACAGTTTTACAACAAACACATTAAAAGCTCCCAGCACTGGGGCTTCCGGATGTGACAGCCCAGTTAGAAAACCTCTCCAGGCCTTTCTTCACCCGGATCCCTCCTTCCCAACCTGCCTCCCCGGGCCACCTGAACCACCACCATTAACTGGCCCGGGGCCTAACAAGGGCCTGGGAGTCTTTTCTTAACAAGCTTTTGCAAGTGGCGACGGGAAGGGCTGCTATGGATACCTAAAACCTCCAGGCTGTGGGCCCTGAAGAACGGGCTCATCCTCAATCCCCGGACCAGTGAGCTCTGGAACAGAGGCTGCCCTGAGGACTGGTGGCCCTTGACCCTGGACCATGGCTTGACACTGAATGCCTCTCTGTACTGAGTGCTGTGTGACCCTGCTCAACCCTGAGGCTGCAGGTGGATTATCCGCCACTTTACAGATTGGGCAACTGAGGCTTAAAGTTGTCCCTGGACTTCCCCAACTTTAGCTAGGAAGTTGAACTGGTATCTGAAACCAAGTCTGTCAGCCTCTCTGCTGCTCTTAAGACTGGCAGTTTCAGCCAGGCATGGTAATCCCACCACTTTGGGAGGCTAAGGGGAGAGGATCACAAGTGTAAGCCCAGTCTGGTCAATCTATCAATTTAGGGAGATCTCATCTTTAAAAAACAAGTTACAAATGAGGCTGGGAATGTAGCTCAGGGCTAAAGCTCTGACCCCAGGGGGGCAGGGGGACACACAGGACACTGACAGCCTCCTAGCCCATCATCTCTCCTCTCACCATTCCACCAGGAATGGCAGAACAGAGAAGCCCTCAACTGACAAATACAAAACGGAGTAAATCCACAATGGAGATGGCCTCGATCGTGCAGCCCACCTCTCTTCCGGTAGGAACCCATCCACAGAGACATCCCCATGCCTGCTGCCTCAAAGGCTTTAAAGCCAATCTCCCCTCCTTCCTCTGGGCAAACAGCACATCAGCAGCAAGTCCCCCAGAACCAACGTGGAGCAAAGAGGAGAATGAGACACAGGAACAGTTCTTTATTGTACACTGGAGAAATAGCCCTGTGTGCTGGTTCAAGGTGCAACATACAGAATATTGAATTATGAAAAGAGGAAACTGAGAAAGGAAGGGAAACCTCTTGAGGTCCAAAGTTGCAAACAAACAAAAAAGGAAAATGGTAAAAGATTCCTCACGCAAGAGGCATTTTTGCAAATACCATGCAAAACAGGCAGCTGGTGTGCCTTAAGAGAATCCCTATAAATAACAGAAAAGACACTCCAAGCATTCCTTTATGTGGACTCAGAGCACAGGGAAAAGGAAAGATACCAAAATGCCTTTTGGCATTTTCAAGATATTTGGCACTCTTGTGATTACATTTTTTTTTACAGTCCATTAAAGAGAATAAACTGACACAATATTAGAGAAAAAAACAGGCGGCTCACACAACAGACTGCAGAGGGAGGTTAGAAAAAGCTCAAGCATTTTTTTCTGTTTTTCGTGGTTTTTTTTTTCTGACATATAAAATGTGTCCTTTTGCATTAACTTGGGCAAATAGCTTGCAACAACAAAGAAACACAAGCTTTACAATGCATTTTAAAGTAAAACCAGGATCCTGTCTATGGTCCATTCCTTAGAAAAGTTATCTTCTTGTTTTAAACACATTCCTAATAACTTCAAAAGATGAGTAAAATGAAACAGTATCTACAGAGATCCTTTTCTGATTTTTTGTACATCCAAGGATAACACAAAAAAATAAAACTGGACAGCATCTCACATCCCAAGTGCACAGAATCGTTTTTGCAAGATTAAATAATGTAAACATTGGGTACAGCCAAATCAGCAAAGAATGCCAACACCTCAAAACACCCGGTGCTGCCGCTACATTAAGTGGTTCAAAATCCAGATCTATAATTGCGCAATATTCACCGTATATAAAAAGAAATAGATATAAATTTTGACAAATAGCTGCAACTGAGACTTCTTTTTTATTTCTTTATATGTGTGTATATAGTGATTTTTAATTTTTTTATTTTATGTATTTTTTTTTTTAAATTTTTGCAGAGGAGCCCAAAGCCTGCTGCTCCTCCTCCACCTCCTCCTCCTCCTCCTTCTCCACCTCCTGCCTCATCTGTCTCCCGGCCTGACACGAGATACAGGTTGTTGTTTTCATCGTGGATAGCAAGCTAGTAATAAATTTCAAAGTGCTTTCTCTTTTTCATGCTTTTGCCAATAACCGTTACGGCCGCTGTTCCCATTCTTTCTTAACTCACTGTCTTTGGGGGAGTTAGACACCGGGAGGTGCCTTGTCGGTCATATTTTTCAGCACGTCATCAATCCTATCATCTTCAATAACAACTGTAAAAAAAGGGGATGAAAAGAGGTGAGCACGACTGGGCCTACGGAGAGGTCTTAAACACCCAGCTTTACCCCCAGCGAGGTTTGGGGAGGAGGGCAAAGGAGGAGGAGGGCTCGCTGCGGTGGGAACAGCCCCATCCTCCTGTGCGCCCGAAGTCCCTGCCCTTTCTAGCTTTGAACTGCCCACCCCTCAACCTGTGTCCCGGCTAGGTCCTAAAAGGAAGAGGAGAGGGCGCAAACCCAGGGCCCGGCAGCAGCCAGGGTCCCTGTCCTTCTCTCTCCAGACCACTGACTGAGAAAGGGGGCTCGGAGGCAAAAATGGGAATGGGCAGGGAGGGGCCCAAAGTCTCCCGGTCTCTAGGTCCCCTGGAGATGCCTGGAAGGCACAGATTGCTATTGGACGAGGCTCGGCGTGGAGTGCAGGGAAGCAGGAAAGGACGGGCGGCCGGGCGGGTTCAGACCTGGGCCTGGGCGGGTGCCCCCTGTGCACGGGCCAGCGGCCTTGGCCCCTCTGCTCTCCCAGCTGCTGCAGCAAGGGCAGAGCCTCCCTTTGCTGCCTACCTGGGGCTCTCGTAGTCTCCTCCTTTTTCCTCACTGTCTCCACCCAGCCTCACCTTTCTCAGTCGGGGGGGGGGTCTCTGGGTCTCTAAGTGCGGGGGGTTGGCCACTCTCCACTCTCCCGGGGCGACCCAGGCTCTCCCGACAGCCGTCGGGCTCCCTCGCCGTCCCCGCGCCTCGGGGCTCCCTCTTGGCGCCTCCCAGCGTCTGTCTCTGGGGCTTCTCCCGCTCCCGCTCGGAGTGCCCCGGCTTACAAACCCACAGCCAGCCCCTGCCAAGTAACCATGAAAAGCCAGTGCCACCCAAGTGCCCCTCGCCCTCCCAGAAGGAGTGGGATCCTCTCCCTGAACCCCGCGGTTCCCTAGGCCGTCCCTTGGGGAGCCCTGGGACACCCCCCAGGACCGTAGAGCGAACGCAGCTGCAACTCCACTGCGCAAAACTGGGGGGGGGCACAAAGCAAACTTTGGCGAGGGTGGGGACCTGGGTAGAACCCACCGCCGTCCACTGCGGCTAGAAGACGCCACGCCCCCGGGGTGACCCTAGCGGGGATCCGGCCGAGAGGACACGTACCCGCGGCCCGCCCTGGCCCAACCCGCAGTGCGGGATCCCCCACTCTGCGGGAGAAGATCCCGTCCTGGCGCAGCGGGCTCCCGCGGCTGGGAGACCCCCGCAGGCTGCGGCGCGGGGGAAGAAAGGGGGTGCTGGAGAAGGGGGCTCAGCACTCACCCCGCTTGCTCCGGCCGATCTGCCCCAGCTTGGGCGGCCGCTTGTTCTGCCCGGCGCCGAAGAAGTTGTTGGTGTCCTGCAGGCGGCAGGAGAAGATCTGGCCCACGTCGCCGCCGTCGCCGTAGGGGCTCAGCTTCTCGTCGCCGTAGGGCAGCACCTCCGACATGGTCGCGTCCGGGGGCTCGGCGGCGGCACCTCCTCCGC